GGCCGCGCTGCGGACGCTGCTGGTCAGCGCCCCCGCCGGCTCCCTGCGCCTGCGCTCCTGCCGGGTGAAGAAGCTCTCCGACTGGTACACCATGCTCTACAACCCCAGCCCCGACTACATCACCACCGTGCACTGCACCCACGAGGCAGTCTATCCCCTGTGAGTGGAAAGGGCCTCGGAGCTCCCCCTGCTCCTTGCCTTTGAGACAAGCCTGTTTCTCTTCATCCTCAAAGTTGCAAAAAGGGGTTGATTTCACTCAGACCTGTGAGTATCAACCCCTGAGGGTTTTAATCATAGAATTACAGACTGGTTTGGGTTGGAAGGGACTTTCAAGATCATCAAGTTCCAATCCCATTGCATGGGCAGGGACACCTTCCACCAGCCCAGGTTGCTCCAAGCCCCATCCAACCTGCCCTTCAACACTGCCAGGGATGGGGCAGCCACAGCTTCCCTGGGCAACCTGGGCCAGGGTCTCACCCCCCACGTTCCATGCATTGAGCTACCTTATGCATGAAACACTTGGTAACACCTAAGGACTTTCTGAGTCATCCAAGTGTAATACTGCATTTTTTTCTCCTCTTTGCTGCCTCTTGACCATTTCCCCTAGGACAAGTGAGCCCTTTGCTCTACGTTTACATCCTTAGATTGTAAATTCTTTAGACTTGACTGACTCTTCAGGCACTGGAATAGGCTGCCCAGGGAGGCTGTGGAAGCCCCTCCCTGGAGGTGTTCAAGGGCAGGTTGGATGAGGTTTTGTGCAGCCTGGTCTGGTGGGAGGTGTCCCTGGCCATGGCAGGGAGGTTGGAACCTGATGATCTTGAAGGTCCCTTCCAACCCAAACCATTTGATGATTCTAACCCCAGATTCTTTAGTTCTGAGTTGAGTCTGCAGGAGGGGAAGAACTGCACCTTGTGAGGAATTTTCTTCTCTTCTTTCCAGGTACACCATTGTGTTTATCTATTACGCCTTCTGCCTGGTGCTAATGATGCTGCTGCGGCCTCTCCTGGTTAAGAAAATTGCCTGTGGTTTGGGAAAGTCTGATCGGTTCAAAAGCATTTATGCAGCACTCTACTTCTTCCCTATCCTCACTGTGCTCCAGGCTGTTGGGGGAGGCCTGCTCTGTGAGTTCTCTCCTAACAACAGCCAGAAACACACCTATAAACACAGGCTGACAATGCCTGATGGGAGGGAGGGAAGGGACATGACACATTATGGTTATTGTAAGGAGTCTTACCTGAAAAAGTTGCTCAGTAGTAGCCCTGTCCTGACCAGGCTCCTGACCAACACAGCTTTGCCTTTCTGGTGCTGCTCAAGACTGTCCTTTTCCCAAAAAAGGGAACAGAGCAGGGATGAGAGGAAACTATTTCAGAGGGATATAGTTCTGCTTTCTGCTAAGGTAGAGTTTGTTTGAGTTCAGAGATGGCTCAAAGTGTCAGTTTGAGGAGTTCAGCTGCCTTTGGTGTAGCTTCCAGTGCACTTGTCACATGGAGGAACAGGGGCTACAAAAATCCCTGCTCAGTCTGATCACTTTTCTCCTTATCTGACTTTTGCCATTAGTGATTTAAATGTACAGTAACTCTACCCAGAAACACTGTGAAGGGATGATATGAGGTGGGCTGTAGTGGCTTAGTTTACTTCTCACCCATCATTCTAGATGGTAAAACCATCTCTGCTGCCATGTATAGAACACATTTAATTTCCTGCTGATGTGTTCAATGTTTGCCTTTAGATTATGCCTTTCCTTACATCATACTGGTGCTGTCCTTGGTGACACTGGCTGTGTACATGTCTGCTTCTGAAGTGGAGGTAGGTAAACGTGTTACTTAAATGATAACTCATAATCTGAAATGCTGGAAGGAGCAGGGGCCCTGCATCTCTTGCCTTTTCCCAGCAGGGTGTTCTGTGTGGAAGCCTCTTCCTTGACGACTTTCTCCTCTTAGCTGGAGGAAGCTCCATTGAGACTTCCCTCTTGTGGGGCACTGGGAAACTGTTCTGTGCCCTGGAAGGGCTCGGTCTCTGCACCACCTGTGACCTCCCTTACCCATGAGGTGGGAGGAAAGGGGTGGAATGTTAACAGCATCCTGTCTTTGTTTTGCAAGTCTTTCAAGGATCTTCTCGTCAGGAAGAAAAGGCTTGTTGTCCTCTTCAGCCACTGGTTACTTCATGCCTATGGAATCATCTCCATCTCCAAACTGGATAAGCTTGAGCAGGACCTCCCCTTGCTGGCCCTGGTACCTGCACCTGCCCTCTTCTACTTGCTGACAGCCAAGTACACCGAGCCCTCCCGCATCCTCTCAGAAGGTGGAAATGGACACTAAAAGGAGCCTGTGCCAACACTGCTGTCCTCCTGGGCTGGGTGAAGCCATTTCAGTGCTTGTTACACGTTGGAAACTTCTTTTTTTAGAAGAAGTTATTTATGTACAAGCCTTCTAGGTGAAATACCTGAGTCAGACTGTAAAAAGCTGCACTTTGGAGTCTTCCTAACAGTCTTGTATAGACAAAAGGAAAGTCTTTGTGTCTGTTTATCACAGTGAAACTGCACAGAAGGCATGTGACACACTCTGGTACAGCAGTTTGCTTGGATATGCTTATTGCCTAATGCAATATGTTAGATGTTGTTTAAATAGAACAATAGAGCCTGGTTTTCAATAGCCTTTCAGTAAAATAAAGAGAACTTGATTATAGTGTGGAGCTTGGTTTTCTCATGATACACTCCAGCTTCTGTTCCCTTAAAATGCAGTTTCCCCAGATGAAACAGGTTTTCACCTTCCTTCCATCAGAAACCACAACATGTTGAGTATCTCCTCATTTATTCCTCAAGATGCCTTAGCCTGATCTCTAGGGAGAAGGAGAGGAAACGTGTTGCAGAGTTACAAAGTCGAGTTATGCTCTGTGTGCTTCATGTATGGAAACCTCTTCCTGCAGATGATTAAACAGTAGTAGCCTTCCCACTTGAGCCTGTTTCTTAGACCTTGACTATAAATTTCCATCTAAGATCTGATTAAAGGTTTTCTTTTTCTGGTAGCCTGCACGTCCTTGCTCCAGGGGGAGCCTGTGCAGCATCTGTTCCTGTGTGGGAGGAACCTTGGCTGCAGCTTTCAGCACAGTCACCTCCACTTGCTCCTGTGAGGGAGCTTGGTGCCTGCCTCACCACTTCTCAGTGCTTCAAACTGCTCACCTTGCTACGTGGCCACAGCTGTAACCCTGTTGCAGCAGCAGTGGTCAGGAGTGCTCAGCAGCTGAGGAAGGAACAGCTCTTCTCACCACTGCAGTGTCAGAAGCTGCTGGAGTGGCTGAAGTACAAAAGCAGCACAGGTTTAATAAAGAGCTGGAAGTTCCTTATCTCTGCTTTGCATTCATCTGAATCCTTATACTTACTGTGAACAGCTTAGTAAGAATTGCTAAAACCTCAGAGGCTGTTCAGAACTGAGGTTTTTGCCTTGCTGAAGCCAATTACCCCCTGACAGACTCTAATCTCTCTGTAGGGTGCAGGAAGGTGCCCAAAGTGTGTACCCTGTGGATTTCTCACCAGTCACTGAGTGCTGTAGAGGATCTAGAAGAAAATGCAGAGCAGTGCTGAAGGTCTGACCACAGAGGGACGAGCAATGGGAAAAATCTTAACTGAAGCTCTTCCTACCACGTGGATCACTGGCTGTAGCAGTGCATGTCACAGTGTATATAACAGTTTCTATATTGAAGTGTGACAGTTGTGCCTCTTTTACCCTGTTACCCCTCAGCACTGCTAAGAACAGAGCTTGCCAGCAGCTCAGGGGCTTGCAGGGGTGTCCTCTGGGTCAGGCTGCCTCCAGATGCCACTCCCCTGTATCCATAGGACCTTTGGTTTCATTACACCTGGTGAGGCCTTTCCTGAGAGCCTTTTTTTTCTGTGGAATGCTGACTGATGGGTTCAGTGCTTCTAAAAACCTGTGAGCAAACAAAACAGCCTTGCATGCAGAAGGAAGGTTTTGGTTAGGGATTAAGGAAGTGATTGGTCTCCATAAGGGAATCAAACAATTTCTGTCTGTACTGCTGTGCACAAAATGTAATTTGCAGACACATTAGTTTAGAGGACAGTTCTAAAAGTATGGTTATAGAACTCATGTTGAAGTACCATTTCCATAACTAACAGTGTCAGAGGCATATTTTACTTAACAATGTGCTAAAGGCAGTTTTGTGTCTGCATTGGCAGCTACCACATCAGTACCTGCACCATGGGCATGTGAGCA